AGAGACAACCCCTCCCCAGGGGACAACTGGCCTCCATCTGCTTATCCTGCCTCATCGCCTTGGCCTCTGTGGCCCTCTCTCCAGTTAGGGGTACCATCTCTGCCTCTAACCTCCCCCCCCCGACTCAAGACCTCCCCCACGCCAGTTAGACGTCTCTTCAGATATGTTCATCCTGTTCTTTGCACTGCCTCTTCTGTGCGTCACTACCAATGCAGAGAAGAGCAAGGATGACATCACTGGTGGTCAAGTTTGTATTCCCCACTCTGAGCCCTGACAGGCCGCACTGTTCATCAATCAGAACTTCCACTGTGGGGGTGTCCTGCCGTCCAATCGCTGGGTCCTCACAGCAGTTCACTGTACCCACTGGAACCTTCGAGTGGTCTTGGCAAAACATAATATCAAGCGTCTGGTCCCCTAACAGCAATCGGTCAAGGTGGAGTGCCAGGTATCCTACCCCACATACAACCCCAGGACCAGCAACAATGACTTCATGCTGCTCTACCTGAGGAAGCCAGTGAGGCTGACCCCCCAGGTTCGCCCCATTCATCCGGTCAAAGGCTATGTCAATCTTAGCACAACCTGCCTAGTGTCTAGCTGGGGTACCCTTTCCAGTCCTTTGGTCAGATATCCCAGCGCCCTCCAATGTGTGAAGATCGGTATCATATCTGAAGAAAAATGCAAAAATGCTTATCAAAGAGCCATCACTCCTGGCATGGTCTGTGCTGGGGACAAGGAAGGTGGCAAGGACTTGTGCCAGGGTGACTCTGGAGGCCCCTTGGTGTGCAGTGGGGCCCTGCAGGGCCTGGTGTCTTGGGGCATGGAAGACTGTGCCCTTCCCAGGTTTCCTGGTGTTTATACCAACCTGTGCTGTTACTGGACCTGGATCCTAAATAAACTGCAGAAGAAGAATTGATGAGCTCCCCCTACATGCCGCAGGACGATTGCCCTGTTCAACCTATCCCCCAGTCCTGCCCTCAGGGACAGGTGGCCTGAAACTACAGCCCTGCACCCTACAGAGGAAACTTCCCCTCTCCCAAGGACAGGACTCAGCCATTCTGACTTCCCAACCATGGACCTCTGGAGGACCCATTTCTAGCATGGATTTAGATTCATGGAAAGGGAATCAAAAGAATTTAGAGATGGAAAGGACTTTAGACCCTGAAATAGCAGGTCTGGAAAGGACCTTTTAGAAAGACCATGTACTTGAATTTTTACAAATGGGGAAACTGAGGGTAAAAGTGATCTCCTAATGTCACATAGCTAGGTTGTAACAATTCAAACTAGTGTTCTTTCCCTGATTCTGGGGTCTGAAGGTAGATCTATCCCCAACCCCCTAGGTACCCTAGCCACTTTCATGAATCCACTGCCTTGCTCAGGCATCCAAAATAATAGGTAACTTAGCAGGTCCCTCTTGGTCACCCCTCCCCAACAGTCTTAGATTAATAAAACCTATAGGACTTCCTTTGTGAAAAAAAAAAAGTCAACATTGAAGTTTGCTGCATCAATTTATACTTCCTTTCAATTGAACATGTAGAGGCCATTGGAGGGTTATTAATTGGCCTAATTTCAATATTGTGTCTCAGGGAATAGGGAAGCCTAAGGAAAGGGAGAAAGATGGAGCAACAACCAGTTGATGGAGCAGTGAGATCGAACACCAAATTTATTAATTAAGTTCACTGTGTTATATGGGTATGGTTCATAGTGCCTTAAAATAATTACAATAGTAACATCAAAAATCACTTATCACAGATCACTATAACAAATACAATAATAATGAAAAAGTTTGAAATATTGCAAGAATGACCAGAATGTGACACAGAGACACAATGTTAACACATACTATTGGAAAAATGGTGCCAATAGACTTGCTCAATGCAGGGTTGCCACAAACCTTCATTTTAAAAATTGTAAATACAATATCTGCAAAAGACAATAAAGCAAAGCACAATAAAATGAGGTAGGACTATATATCAGTCAAGAGAGGACCTGAGCTATTAAGCAACAGATTCCAAATTG